CTGATAAGGATCTTAGTGTATAGATTGCTTCTTCTGTTATTGTTATCATTATTTCTTGATTTATTTGTTCATTAATTTTTTATAAATGTGTTACTGGCACTAGATTAAAGGTGGATCTGTATTTTAAGTGTGAAAACTGCTTATGGTATTTGTTCATTGATTATTGTTTTATTAGAATTAATTTGTTTAAAGGTCCTACTTGTGCAAATAGAGTATCGAAGAGTAAAAGTAAAAGCGAATTCTCTATCTCAGGATTTAAATAAAGAAGTTGCCTTTTCTGTTAATGGTATAATGGATGCACACGTTTTAACATAATCAATTTTATTTTTTGAATGCACTTGTACAACTAGAGTTACAACGGGTACAAGTCAAATTATCATCTGTTTCTCTCTCTTTTAGTACAGTGAACATCTCATAATCAAGAAACAGTTTGTTCCATGGACATTGCCGTATTCTTTAAAAGATTGTGTTAATGGTTGCTGAGTAAGTAATTTTCACATGCCCATGTCTCTGACTGTAAAATGTATTTTGTCATTATGTCTCAAATAAACTCTTGATTTTAGATTCATTAAGGCATCAGATTCAATGAAGGACCATTAATAATATAGCATTGATATTGCCTGAGCACAGATGGCAATAAAGTTACCATTGCAATTACTGGCAATCATTACTTTTGTTATTAATAACCAGACATTGCATGATGTATCTACCTTTCATCTACCATGTATTTAAAATTTTTCATATTGTATGTACTTTTGCTAACACCAATAGTTTTACTTTCATGTATTTACTTGTATTTTGCTATAAGCTTATTACAACATAAATATTGATAGATAACTACACTAAATATGTATTAAGTTATATTTTTAAAATTATGGTTTATTTTTTTTATGTAACTATCAGTTATCCTGAAATGAACGACAGAACTTACATGGTAGGTAAGTGTGTGTGTGAAAACAATTTTTACTGGAGGAGTACTTAACAAGCTGGAATAATGCTATTATGCTAGCTAGCATTATAGCATTATGGGAACTATACAACATGCAAAATAGTTTTTAAATTTGACCTACAATACCTTCATGGCGATTGTTTCATAGCAATGGCAATTATAAAAAATCAATTTCATTAGTCGCAAGTCCTAATTCTATATAATTCTTTGCTGCATTGATAAGTTTTTAGTTGTCATATCTACACTCCTTGTTCATTTATTTTTGTACTTGCATGTTACCATGTACTACATTAAACCATGTACTACATTAAATGAGCCTTCTTTTTCTCTCAATTTGTAGTAAATTCATGACAAGTACAGTAGTAATAATTCTAAAGTAGGTTGAGGTATTTAATTATTGTAATATATATTTACGAAAATTTTGCACAAAATTTAAATGCAGTATATTCCATGTGTCAAAACTGCTTTTTAAGAACATTATTCTATGAGATTTTAATTCTATATTATGATATTTTGTAATCATTTTTTTGTAGTGCAGTTGGTATTATTTGTATAAAACAGTGCATTTTGTACTTTATGGATGCTTATTTATTAACAAAATGTGGCATGCACCATTGCAAATGTTGAGTTTTGCCTCGTGAGCATTTTTGCCTTAAAAGCATCACATTACCTTTTTTAGAGTGTCTATATGTAGATTAATGTTTATTAAACTTGAAGTTATGTGTGTGTACCTTAATAGGTCTGTAAAAACTCGGCTGAGAGTACTAATACTAGTACAAAGTTAACAGCTCTACATTTTTTTGCTTTTATTTACTGATTGTTTTATGTTGTTTCTTTTAATGATCAATTTTTTATGATTCTCATTTTTAAAAGTAATATGATTATACAGATAAAACAGTATTAATGTTATAATTTTAATGATTAATCTGGCAAAACTAGTGATAGTAAAGATTTAATTGAAACAAGATATTGCAAGTCAGAATAGTAAAATAGTGAATCACCACCGTCTTCAAAAGTCAGACCTCTCCACAATGACTTTGTCCCTTATATCAAAGGTTTGTTGCTTAACTTACAGGTGTATTCCTTTCTAAAAAGGAATAAAGTGTGCATTTGATCACAAAACTTATGGTTCTGGAAACTTCTTTGCTGAGGAAAAAGTGATCTCTGCTGCTTTTGCATTTAGATCTACAATCAAAGTCAATAAGATAGCTACCATGTCAGTATAAAGCATTGTTGCTCAATTTGTGGCTTTAGCTTGTACTTTAGAGAACCAGGGGCCGAGATCTATGCCGAGATAGAGGCTTTCCCTTATGCGCGTACAGCTGAAGGAGGAGGAGCTTACAGAGAATCAAACAGGACAGACGGCCATCTTTATTTCAGTGACATGGCATACCCACCCCTTTTACTGCCAAAAGCCATGAATATACTCACAGAAGTCATGTGACTTCCGCATTAGCATGTAGGATGACGTCAGATTAAACTATATTCATAAAAAGATTAATGATATTCATGGTTAATGTAAGTATATTCATTAGTGCAATAACAATATTCATTGCTAAACATTAATGCTTTGACTTTCTTGAAATGGTACTTTAAAAATCACTACAAAATGAACAGAATTATTAATGATAACAAAACTCCATCAGGTAATAGAAAAAAGTAGTGTTATGACATGCAATCAATAAAATGATAAATTGCTAGTTGTTTATATGTTAAAATCCATGTCCGATAAATGCCACTGTTCACAAGGCAAATGAGAATATCAGCTTCAACTGCAACTGAATCTATAATGAAAAAAGGGAAATAAATTTGCTTAGTAATTGCAACAAGTAAGTTCATAAAGTATGAAAAGTTATGCAGGAATTTTTTTTTTTATATTTAAAGTTCAATGATCTATAACTTATATACAGTGTATGGTAAAAATTTAAAAATAGCACAAGGTGTACAACTTTTTATTTCCTATAAAATGGCATCAATTAAAAAAATATTAAAATTTCATCCAAAAGTACCTTAAAGTCTTCAATGACTAATGTTAGCAAAAATGACATTACATGAAGAATATTTTGCAGTAGAAGTGATCTATATACTAAAATGATATTGATACAAAAACTATTACTCAGGTCAACAGTAGTCACTAATGCTTCTATACCAGGCCTATTTATCTTTTTAGTATTTCTAAGATGTGTACGCTCTGGCACAGACAATAGTACACCCTCATGGCTATTGTTTATAGATCTGTCACACCTAATTACACTGTGCTCTTCTCTCAATAGAGGTGATTCTTGATTAGCTGTTAATCATGTTTCACACATTGAAAATATGGAAACGCTTGATAAGCTATTGTCGACTTCTATATCTTCCAATTTTGCTGTTAGTGACCTAGTGTTTACAAATGAAGTTATAGTTCCACTACTAGAAATATCGCTGTGTGGTATATCAATTATGGTATCTTAAGACAATGCATTTCTTCATATACTTTCTCATTTGTTTTAATTGCACATGGGTTAAAGCTAATAATATACAAGCTCTTTCATCATTTTACGAGGCTAAAAGCAACATATGCTTGCGCAGGATTAAATTACTGCTTTGCTGCACATCTACTAAAATTTCATTTACAGTTAATCCCTTTATTTTGTGAATAGTGCTGGCCCAAGCAAGTGTTATAGGAATTTGGTATCTAGTTACTGCAGCTCCCTTTTTCCCAAATGCAAAAAACTAGTCTTGTACCTTACCAATAGGGACTGCATCATTGAATATGTTGCGATATGGACTGGCTCTAATGGCTTCCTTTCCTACATTTAAATCATCAAATTTTACTTCAACTTTTTTCACTTGAAGATAGTCATCTTTCACTATATGCAGCACTTCACCTCTGGCTCCATTAGCCAGGCCATCACTCACATTAATATTTATAGTCAACATCACTCTAGCACCAATTGCTAAAGTAAGTAAATGATGTAAATTTCCTGTTTCAGACTTCTTTTTAGAAAGTTTAGACAAATCAAATTCATCAGTTTGACAAGTTTAGAGCCATCTGCTTTTATTAAATATTGATCGGAACTGGCCAGTGAATTTAACATGTACTCATTCCTTTTCTGTACACTATCATTGCACCTATAAACATGAAGTGCGTGTGTAGGATAATCAATTGAGGCAGTTCTTATCTCACGACCTTCTAAGACTTGTATGTCATTGTTAGTACAACTACCTGTGTCCAAGCAATTCCACAAAATTTGTATCTCCCCTTTGACGCATGACCTCGTGAAGCTCAAGCATTTTAAAATTTTCTTTCCATAATGATCCAGAGCCAGACAAGAAGGCTAGGCTGTTCTGTGACATTCCAAATGGTGATGACTGGCCTACTGGTAGCAATTGATATAAGTCACTGACTGCCAATATACTTCCATTGCCAAATATTACATCATGAGGCTGCACAAGTATCTCATTAAGCCTTCTGTGTACATCAAGCAACAAATTACTGCCTACCATTGATATCTCATCAAAAAGGCGCAGTTTAAGCTTTGCAAGTCTGAGGCGCAATGTGTTTGCTTTGTCATCGTACAAACTTTAATAGCTTCCATATTTGTTACATCCTAGCATTAAAGAGGAACGTAAAGTCTTCCTCAAATGTTAAAAGCAGCAACCCCGTGGGTGCTGTTAAAAGCACAATGACTTCATCTGGCTCAATAAAACCAGAAAGTTTCAACAATTTGATAGTATCAGATTGAATAATTTTGATGACATGGGACTTACCAACTCCTCCTGGTCCACTAAGAAAGATACAGTATGGTTAAATCTTAATACCTTTGTTTTAGTCAATTATGGCCTCCTTACACAATTTCGTATGGAAAAACACAATTTGGCTCTGTTTTTCATTCAAGCCTCTCATAAAACACCTGTATTTGTCTGGTGATATGACTTCTTTCTCAGCAGCACTTTCAAATCTAAAAGACAAAGCAGCAGGACCATTTCTGCTTTTGTTATCAGAAGGATTTGTAACTAATGTAGTATTATCATCAATGTCTTTCTGACTTTAATGTCTTTCTAGTTCTTCACCTTGCATATTGTCCCGGGTTCTACTGTCTTCTGTGCCATTGGCTAATTGATGCTGGGGTGGGTTCTGTGTATCATAGGTCCATTATCAATTTGTTCTATAGTATATTTGCATTCATTTTCAAGTACAACTTGTAAAGCATGACTATGATGGTCTTCATAAGTATTGTAGCCGTTAATTGTATCTGTTTCTTCTATATACCACGGCACATACAGCATTAATCTTGATTTATAATAATTCTGGGATAACTTTCCTTACTATACTTGTGAAATGAAATAACTGCTTTAATGCTTCTTTTGACCATCGTGCCAAAGCCATCACCAATTTAATATCTTTTACAGAACTTAACTCAGAACTTTTAGCAGAGGGAAACATATCCATTACATCATAATCGTCATCATTACTAGCAGGTGAACCATATTTCATTTTAAATTTTGCAGCAAACTCAGTGAAACTCAAATATGCAAGTTGTCGTGGTGTAACGCTGAATAATATTTTACAAAAAGCATCATGGACATCATCTTGTAGAGGACCAAGAGCCTTATTATTTTTAAATAATGTAATACGGTCCTGAATTGTACTAGTAGTGATGTGTTCAATAACTCGAATCAGTTTAGTCATAGGTAATGATAACAATTAATAAGCGCATCTTGTGCAGTAAGGTCTCTATGATTTAAGAATGCAGCACCAATTTTGCGTAATTGTTGTGACAATTCTGAAGTTTTTTCCCGTGAAGCAACTTGTTTTAAAAGTTCACTTATACTCTTTTCAGACTTGATAATGTATGATGCCACATACATAACACAGGCAAAAACATTAATGACAAATTGAATGTCATGGTTTGCCTTCCAAGCTAATAAAATATTTTTATTGTTATTGTTAATGAAGCAATCTTTTGCATCTCTCCTCAAAACTACTACATGACCAGATGAGGTGCTTGAAATTGCTCTTTCTCTAAAGGAAGCTATTGATTGTGTACATATTAGTCAAGATATTGTTGTAATTTTACCCAGGTGATTTTTTAAATCTTTCATTTACGAATCTATTGCATGGCTGTCCCCAAAATTAAAGCACTAGTACTTGTTGTGTCTCCTCTAATTGGATGTATAAGGAACCAGGTTTCTATTTTGACAGAGAAGGGCATTTTAGCTGCCTATAATGGAGATCAAGATGTAAAAGGAGATAATGATTATTCTATAATTTATGTAAGCCTAGGCGCACTGTTATCTGGTGAATGCAGACAAATGATATTGTCATGCAGTAAAAGGATTGTCACAGTAGCTGTAGTGAATGGTATAAATCTTAAACTTTATGTTAATGTACAATTGTGTAATGCCAATGATCTTTGGCCAGATTATAAAATATTAGGTCACTGGTACCTGAAAATGTTCGTTTTTTGGCATTGACTGCTACTGCCACTTCAAGAGCCACTAAAAAATTTGTAATGTATTACACCTGCATGATCATCATTATATTACTTCCAAACACAGAGAACCTAACCTATTACGTTTACTAAGTAAAGAATAACGTTGAGGTAGTCTTCACTTCCGTAATTGAGAGTCTGTGACTAATAAGGAACACTCTACCTCAAATTATTTTTTAAAGTCGTTCAGTTCTGACGTGTTCAAAAATATATAAGCTATTCCATGGGTTACTGAGACAATGTTCCTATTATCCTGTTGGCACTGATGATGTAACACTGGATAATTGTCTCTTTGAAATGTTTCATCGGTCGTCAACAGATAAAATTAAAGAAGTATTTCTAATTTGTCTCATATATCCCCATGGTACTTGTCATGTAGTGATAGGCACTACTGTATTTGGTTTAGGATTTTCTTGTCCTATGTTTCGGTACATGATACGCTATGGAATGTCCAAGTCCCTTGAGGCATATTGTCAAGATAGTAGAAGAGCTTGAAGAGATCACACACAACTCATGCTACTTTATTGTTACGTGGATGTGATCTTTACCTACGAAGAAAGGTAGAAATGGTCTTTAATCAGGATTGAAGCTAGATGCAGTCAATTTACATCCAGAGGTGGTTTGATCTTAATTGAATATTCATTTTAGCAGGTTGTTATTCCAGATCCAAAGTCAACAAGTGTGAAAAGGCCTTAAGGCCTTATATGGAGGATTCTCAGAAAGGGGAAACTATCAGAAGATTTATACGTCAGGGTACACTAGGAATATGCGTAAATTATGTCCGTTTACTGCCGCAGAGGATATCATTTTACAAGGCAGTGACACGTCATCAACATAAAACAGTTATATGAATCCATTTTCATGACATATTAAAAGTCTTTTCATCCTGATTGTTGTATGTTTATACAATAAATAGTAACAATTTGGCATCTGCAAAATAAAATAAAAAATGAGTTTCAGTTTATTACAAGTACATGTCAAAATATCACAATAGAGAAGAGACGGGTATATAATTATTATGCTCATGTACCTTAAGCCATACAATGTCAGAGAACTCGTAGGCAAGGTTCTGTTTCATGCTTAATTTGCATAGCTTACATTCATATACAGACAAGGTCCTCTTTGTAATAGATGGAACATGGCTTCGAGTGGTTTATCAGATATACACCGAAAATGATATTCATAATCCCGAGGGCGTAGCCCAAGGGATTATGAATATCATTTGAGGTGTATATCTGATAAACCACAAAGAAGCCATGTTCCATATTTTTTGTACTCTTTGGAAGGCATAATGATGAATACTTAGGCTTACCTGTCGCCATAAGACTGCAAGAAATCGTCCAGTAGTAGCAAAAATCATAAAAATACTTTTTCAGGCGGTGACGCCATTTTAATAGCCTTGCACGTGATCAGCTTGTCAGTTCACACGAGGGCAATTCTTTATGATATTCATTGCTCTAGCAGGAAGTTTACATCATACTTTCTCCAATTTGAGACCCACAATAGCCTGATACAAAAGTCTAGCTTATAAGCTCAGCTTGAATTTTAGGTTTTGAAGGGAGAGATTCCTTCGGGGGACTCTTCCTGATTTTTTACCCGTGGACCTTTCAGGACAAAACTGTCCTCAGCAAAAGGTCAAAGTTCACTGGATATCCTCTTTCCCTGGTGTATGAGGAATTTCACTGGTGTATTATATATACACCACTGCGCGGCACTTTCATCTTACGGCTTCTTATGGTACAATACTAAAGGGACAGTGTCCTCCCATACGTTGTTTCGTCTCACTGATATCACTTGCATCAGAGAATACTCTAAAACTTTAAGAGCCCTTAATTTTAAAGTGTCCTCTACTTTATCTGACCTATGAATAAAGCAATATGAAAATGTTATTATGAAAATTCATTACCTTGCTTTTCCTTCCACCAACTTTTCTTCAACATCAGTCTCATTCTCAAGTAGAGTAGGCTCATAATTACATTCTGTCATGGAGAAATCAGAAAGACAAAATGATGGAATCAATACCATATATGCATCATGTACAGACCTGTGACAAAAAAGAAAATCAATATAAAAATTATGACATAAAACTATATGAATTGTTAGGGTGCCAATCATGAGGAAAACTACCGTATTTCCTCGAGTAAAAGCCGCCCCTGAGTAGCCGCCTCCCTCGAATAGACGCCTCCTGGGGCCAGGGTAGTCAAAGAAATTACCGCCGCCTTCAAATAGACGCCGCATATAATACTATTCATTATTATTATTAATAACCAAGTATTTAATTAACTAGTAAAATGGCCGTCTAGTCACAGTTGAGTCTTAGTCGAGCAGTTCTTTCATCCTATCGATTAGTTTTTTCTTTCCAGGAAAGATATAGATACATGGTACTTCTAGGACCTTTCCAAATTCCCTTTTCCCATTAACATGAGCAGCTTCTACTTGACCCCACGAAGCAAGAAATATGATGCAACTCGCGAAAACTCCCTAGGAAGAAGAAGTACATGTAGCTCATAATGCAAAGACACTGGGGAACATCTAAACTCCTACAGCCTGAGGTAGAACATGAGAGTGATCTTTCTCCAGACCTGGAACTGGAAGTAGTAAAGTAGTAATTGACATGATAAAGATTGAATTATTTTGTTTAAAAAGAGTATTAATGGTAAAAATTAATTTAAAATTAATGACAATTAATAATAATCGCAGCCCTCGAACAATGGCCGCCCTCGTATAGTGGCCTCCCTCCTACAGATGGAAAAATGAAATAGACGCCGCGGCTTTTACTCGAGGAACTACGGTATCCACACATGCAATGTTTACAAGAAGTGGGTATGGTTACAAGTACATGCTAGAAAATGGTCATCCTAAAATGGGAAATGACTATGCAAAACTAAGTTTGCCTCAGTAAAAATTCACACAAGAAATAATAACAACAGCCATGAGAGTGAGGAATATTTTAGGAGCAAAAACAAGTACTTGCATAAAAAATCTGTGAAAAGCTCACTCTTCACCTGCCGACACACAGAGATAACAGGTTCATGAGAGCATCCCACTGTAAGCATTTGTTCCAGGGTGTAGTAACATTTGTGCACAAAAGGTAGTAAAAAATCAAAACCACTGTATATACGTCTCATGGATATCTTATAAGGAATATCATCTAACAAAATGTTTCTTTGCACAGACTTATTTACAGTCGGGCTTGCCTTTCATACTCATGGAGATATAGTAAGTCAACATAACTGGACCAGTCCAACTTATTCCTTGTGACTAGCTTTTCTCATCCAAAACAGAGAATATCCTCCAGTTTCCTTCAGTAGTGGAAATGCAAATGAAACGAGTTTCTAAACCTCGACTGGATCACCGTTAACGTCAAATTCCAGTTCTGTAAGACCCAAACCTATCTCCTTAAGTGAAATGGACTCCCTCAAATTGGGCTTCCAGTCTTGATTACAGAAAAGCGCACATGCTCTCTTTGCTCCATTTAGACTTCTGTTTCTTGTTGAGTATCTTCCAAAGTACCTTATGTATTTTGTTGTAGGCTATGATTCAAGGTTACATCTATATTTGTTTGATGGGTATGTCATTATAAGCATGGCCACAGTAAGTACTCTCACTATAAGTTATTGTTTGCCAGCGTATCTTTCGTTGATGATTGTTAGTTTATTATAATAATATTATGTGCTTGCATGTTCTCATTAACAAACAACAATTGTTTGCACATTGGAAAGTATTCATATGTTCTATATTTATATGAATTTGCTCAATGCAAGTCTCATAAAAAAATCTTAAATCAGTATAGAATTAGTAAGCAAATTAAAAGATGTTTGTCTTTATTTTTTTGTAGATTATGAATGACAACACTGTGCATGTTCATGTACGTAATCAATATGTCCACGTTAATGGCTACTTAGGTATTATTTATTTCTTAAGTCATGCATTATGATAATATTGTTTATTTTTCTTCTAGGAATATTAATAGAAACTAAAGCATTGGAGCATTTTTGTCTTGTCAAACACTGTGCATTGCTAATGTATTTTAATCTTGGCTTAACGCTGGTGCAATTTTCATTGACATTTTGATTATTTTATTATTATGTCTACATCTATTATTATAATAAAGTTATGATACATGTAGTTAATAAAAGTTATAATTTTTTGTTCCAACTTGGGGTCTTGGCCTCCTTCCCCTACCCCTGCCCCTGCCAGGTCTTCTTGGTAGATTCAGATACTATTATGGAATATAATTTAGTACATCATAGTAAAGACTTACAATTTGTCTATTGACAGCCCTCAATTGGGCAATAATGAGCTGCCTTTGCTGGTGCAGCAAAGGCAGTGCTGGGGCAGGAGGGACTGCTGGAGCCCCTGTGGGAGGGACTACAGGTGCACCTGCAGGAGGGACTGCTGGAGCCCCTCCAGGAGGGACAACGGGTGCACCTCCAGAGGGACTCCCAGAGTTGCTCCAGAAAGGAATACGGGTGCACCTCCAAGAGGGACTGGCGGAGCCCCTCCAGGAGGGATTGCCGGAGCCCCTCCAGGAGGGATTGCCGGAGCTCCTCCAGCAGGGATTGCTGGAGCCCCTCCAGGAGGGATTCCTGGAGCCCCTCCAGGAGGGATTGCCGGATCTCCTCCAGGAAGCAGAATGGGATCTTCCTCTCTCCTATCCGGATCTGGGCTTTGTGACCTACTGATACTATGAAAAAGATACATACAAGTATATATAGTGTATAAGCTAGAGGTTGGATAAACTGACTTTTTGCTTGCAAAGTACGAATAACAAATATTGAAAAGTAGTCTGATGCCTGATTGCAAATTGACTAAGGTCTAAACTTTAAAGTAAGGACTGTACTGCTCAGTGACAATCTTGACAAAGTGGGAAATCAGGCATGGTAATTAAAGATTATTAACCAAAACAGGATATTACGTCACATAAATAATTGGTTATTAGCTATGAATTTTATTATTATTTCAAATTTTCAAGTTTCTAGATGTGGTATGTTTATTTTCTGTATGCACAAGTAGCCAAAAATTAATATCTTGCAGAAGTTTTATGAAATATTCTGTAATCGATTTTTAAACCTAGTTAATTAATATCCATAAACATAATACTGATATAAATATAACAATAATTAACAAATTGAATAAAAAGTATGGAAAGAAGTAAATAAAAAAATTTCTATAAATAAGAAAAAGAGGGTTGTCAAAAAATAAAAGAAACAAGGGGTTGAGTTCAATCATAATAATAATTATTAATTCAATTAATAATAAGAAAAGTTAATTAATGAAAAATAATTATTCTAAAAATAATACATACATTTCAACCCTACTTTGCAGCATTTAATGAAGGATTTCTGATTCCTTTAACATGACAAATTTAATGAAGAATGACAACCCAACTGCTTAGTTCCAGCCTACGCAAGTGTGCGAGTTGGCCCTACTGACAATTCCTAACAATGTAACATAATCAGATCAAAATTTTAAAAATGTATATACACTAAAGACATGCATCCATGCTTTTACTTTTAAAATCAAACTAACAAGTATATATTAATATTTAAATTTTATTAATTTTTATGGTAATGCATCACAAAAATTAAAGAATGCAATAGCAAACTAATCATCCGTAGTTTAGAATTTTCACTTGTGATGACAGTAATTTTATTCAATCAATGCTAGGTAAAAATTCTGATTTTTATTTATCAGAACACTTAATTTACATCATACTCATAGCAATGTACTAAGGCAATCACTAAGTACAGAGGCATAAATAATTTAAATTCATTAATTTATATTGTAGTCTGAATATTAGCATATTCTGCAAAGTAGGGTTGAAATTTATGTATTATTTTTTAGAATAATTATTTTTTAATTAACTTTTATTATTATTAATTGAATTAATAATTATTATTATGATTGAACTCAACCCCCTTGTTTCTTTTATTTTTTGACAACCCCACTTTTTTTATTTATAAAAATTTTTTTATTTACTTGTTTAATTTGATACTATCAAATTGTTGAAACTGTCGGGTTTCTTTGAACCTGATGAGATCATTGTACTTTTCACAGCACCCACTGGGGTTGCTGCTTTTAACATAGGAGGAATGACTTTACATTCCTCTTTAATGCTAGGCTGTAACAAATGTGGAAGCTATAAAAGTTTGTCCCATGACAAAGCTGACACATTGCGCCTCAGACTTGCAAAGCTTAACCCTTTAATACCGAAATTAATTTTGGAATAAAAATAATTTTCTGGTGGTACTAGTTGAGCAATGCATATCTCTCAAGATCTTGTCCTGCGAGACTTGAAACTTGCTAGCAGCCTTTATGGGATGTTCATCCTTAGATAGAAGAAGTATAATAGTAAATGAAGCGGCATAAAGCAATGCAGCGTCTATTGTAAAGATACTGACCGCTTTTCTCAAAGACACGGACTTGGCGAAGGGAAAGAGAGTTGAATCATGTTAAGCAGGACCTAGTAGGCAGGATATGAAAGAATGAAGAGGCAGAAGTCAGTAGAGAAGATGCTACGAGTAGAAACACCACTGTGACTGGTCGAGAAGCCATGGTTGCTAAGCCGTTGCTAAGCAAAATGTGGCCACACCTACCGCTTTTCTCCATTGAAATGTTAGGCAAAGCAGCTCTCTCGAGTCGCTCGCCTTTTCTACTCACTTCTAGAGGATTTCACAAGCCAAAGGTTAGTCTAAACATTCTGTCTTTTGTTGTTGTGTCATTATTTAGGTGACTTACCTCGGCCGCTTATCATTTTGAACAGTTTGGGTCGCGCTACTGGACTTTTCTACCTATATACTCTGTTTTTAGTCTTTGACAATGTTATATATGTTAGAGAGATGAAAGGAGAACCTTTTAAAGCTATCTAGAATGTTATATTTCCATAAATAAAAAAGAAAATAACAATTATACTACACCCCCTCATGTTATTGACGTACAAGTACGTCTATCAGTGTTAAAGGGTTAAACTGTTCATAATTGATGAGATATCATTGGTAGGCGGTAATATGTTGCTTGATGTACACTGAAGGCTTAAAGAGATACTTGTGCAGCCTCATGATGTAATATTTGGCAATGTAAGTATATTGGCAGTTGGTGACTTATATCAGTTGCCGCTAGTAGGGCAGTCATCATAATTTGGAATGATGTCACAAAACAGCCTAGCTTGCTTGTATGGCTCTGGATCATTATGGAAAGAAAATTTTTAAATGCTTGAGCTTGACAAGGTCATGCGTCAAAGGGGAGAGACAAATTTTGTAGAATTGCTCAGTTGAGTGAGAATAGGTAGTTGCACTAAAGATGACATACAAGTCTTAGAAAGTCGTGAGATAAGAACTGCTTGAATTGATTATCCTACACATGCACTTCTTGTTTATAGGAGGAACGATAGTGTAGAGAAAAGGAACGAGTACAAATTAAATTCACTGGCCAGTGAATCGGATCAATATTAAATAAAAGCAGATGATTCCAAAACTTGTCAAACTGATGACTTTGATCTGTCTAAACTTTCTACAAAGAAGTCTGAAACTGGAAATTTACATCATTTACTTACTTTAGCAATTGGTGCTAGAGTGATGTTGACTATAAATATTAATGTGAGTGATTGCCTGGTTAATGGGGCCAGAGGTCAGGTGGTGCATACAGTAAAAGATGACAATCCTCAGGTTAAAAAAGTCCTAATAAAATTTTATGATTTAAATGTGGAAAGGAAGCCATTAGAGGCAGTCCATATCGCAACAGATTCAATGATGCAGTCCCTGTTGGTAACGTACAAGCAAAGTTTTTTGCATTTGTCAAAAAGGGAGCTGAAGTAACTAGATACCAATTTCCTTTAACACTTGCTTGGGCCAGCACTATTCACCAAATACAGGAATTAACATTAAATGAAATCGTAGTAGATATGGAGCAAAGCAGTAATTTTAACCCTGGGCAAGCATATGTTGCTTTTAGCCATGTAAAAAGATTAGAGTGCTTGTATATTATTGGCTTTAACCCATGTGCAATTAAAACAAATGAGAAAGTAGATGAAAAATGCAGCGTCTTAAAGAAAACGTAATTGATATACCATGCAGCAATATTTGTAGTAGTGGAACTATAACTTCACTTTAAATATTAGGTCATTAACAGCAAAATTGTCAGATATAGAAGTTGACAGTAGCCTATCAAATGTTTCTATTCCTGCCATGTGTGAAACATGGCTAAAAGATAATCAGAAAACACCTTTTTTGAGTGAAGGACACAGTGTAATTTGGTGTGATAGATCTACAGATAATAGCCATGGGGGTGTACTATTGTCTGTGCCAGAGCATATGCATCCTAGAAATACTAATAAGATTAATAGGCCAGGTATATAGCATTAGTTACTACCCTTGACCTGTGTAGTAGTTTTTGTATCAATATCATTTTAGTATATAGATCACCGAATGTGCCACTGCAAAATCTTTTAACTGTATTGATACAATTATTTAATACAGTTGACTCATTTTTGCCACCGTCATTGGAGACTTTAATGAAGATTTGTTGGCCAATACTTCAAATAGATTATTAAGTTTTATGACTGATAATAATTACAAACAGATGGTACAGACTCCTATTACAGATAGGGGGACCTTGATTGATCATGTCTATGTTAATAGTTTGTTATCTGATTTTGTTTGCACTGTCATTGATTGCTATTACAGTGATCACGACATTGTTGTAACATACCATTTCATTGTACAAATACAGATATTAATACAGGGATATGTGAACAGTAAGCTGTTTTGATGGTTAGGCAGTTTATTCATTCCCTTGTGAAATTGTTGCAGCCAAAAATGTAGGGATGAAAAAATGATCTCCCTAACATGGCTAATAACCATCAATATTATGCACACATTCATATACAAATCCATTCACTCTAAATAATAAGTAAGCTTTTGCTCTTTGATATTACACTCTTACATTATATTATAGGGAATATTCAGTGCAAATCACCTCCGATTTAACTTTTATTCATAATTAATGATAGTTTTGATCATGCTATTTTTATAAAAGGTTTGATTATAACTTAATTCTTATTTCTTTACTTTGTTATAGCTCTCCTAGCTTTAATGAATCAATTGATTATTTCATGAAGTCCCAGTATTTTAAGGTTTCCTAGCTCATAAAATAATGTAGATGTTGGCGTTTTGTCATTTAATTATTGTCCCTTTTCAGTAATAATTTCTACATATTGAGACATTTCATAGGTTTTTGTTTTGGATATATAATTTGGACTAAACTCTCTGAATTCAATGCTGTTATGTTTGTAGTAAAAAGCAGCTAGCCAACTGTATTGCAGGTTACAATTTTTTTATTCATTCATGCACTTAATGTTATCAATAGGTTGTCTTATAATGAATGTAAAACACTTTCCAACTTCTCCATTATTGTATCAGTTTAAGTTAGAGGATTTGGAAAAGACTACCTTTCTTTCCTTATATGGCTGTATTGATGTGTTTCAGGAGTGCAATACACAATAAGTAAACAGCTTAATTCATGTTAGTGTGGATTTCACTTTTAAAAGTGATATAAAGGTAATTTTTTGAGTGCATACTTTTAACAGACATATAATGTTTAGGTTCTTCCATGTTATGAGGCATGGTTTTTTTCTTGGGTCAGCTGTGGGACTGGGACTCAGCTGCCCTAAATTAAGGCTCTTATGGGTATCTATGGCTGAAGAAAATGATTTGCAAGTTATTAAATGTGTGTGACAGTGTGTTTCAAAAATTAATGGATGAGGTATTAAGTTTTAATGGAATGTAATTTAATTCATCTAATGCTTTTCTTAGGTGTCTTAAGTTAGCACACATTGTAAGCTGTGCATTACCTTATGGGAATCAGAAACTGATACAGTTTAAGACAAGTAAATAAAAAAACATTAAAAATGGAAAAGTAGTAG